GGGGGGTCTTGTTTTGTTTGTTGGAGTTTTAAAAAGCACACGTACACAACAGCATCATTCAAACTTCCCAGGTCGGTTGCCTCAAGTAATGCGAAGAAATGCTGAAAGTTATGTATGTGAACCTAATACAGAAGTGAAAATATGAGACATATAGGCCTACTGAAGACAGGGGAGCCCTTTTCTTCTCATTTTTACGTTTCGAAGTGGACAAAAAAGCGCTGAAATGACTAAAAATAGTCTCTCAGTGCTATATTTTCTTTCGTATCTGCTAACAGGAAGTCTATTCTATTATTTTGAAAACGTGGATCAGTCGAGAATTTGGTGCCTTTTCGTTACTGGATTGGAATAGATAGCGAGCCAATCGAGCCGTATTTTGCGGCTCTCGGTCCAGCGAGGTCTTTTGCGGCTCGTGGTAGGGAAAGTGTTAAGACACTTGGCTGCGACCCCACAGTCTTAGTCTAGTTTTAGTAAGGTTTTATGGCACTCGCAACTGCATAAGGTTATATGAGCGCCAAGGGGTGGATGTCAACAGAGAAGTCCTAACGGGCAAATCAAATTGGTATAGTATTTCTAGATGTCTTCCAGTACTTACAGTGACCACCGCCGAGGCCTCCATAGTGGTTGGTCACGGCTATCAGGTCGTAGACGTCACAGTCGTTGGATTCCTCGTTTATGATGTACTTCCGCAGGTCCAGACCACTAATGATGGTGGGGACGGGGGATGGGGGTGGGGAGAGAGAAATAGTGATATTTTTGTTTGAGTAGAGGTTTTACGGTGCTCGCAACTGCATAAGGTTATATGAGCGCCAAGGGGTGGGTGTCAACAGTAAAGTCCTTACAGGAAATCGGGCTTACTCTGCAAACCTCTCTAGAGTAAACAGCACAAAGTCTGCTTCGACTATCAAGGCACCCGGGAAATAGCGGGTCACAAGAGTGTGACAAATACACAAAAGAAGTAGAGGCAAAATGACGATAATAAGGATTAGGAAAGAAAAAGCAGCAGTTCCCTGTTGCAGTTCAGGCAGTTATGAGCATGATATTGATGAATCAGCCCATTTTCAATTACAATTCTACTGTGCATAAGAACATGGTTAATGTCCCCCCTTTAGGAATGGCCTAAAGACACTTCAGTCAGTAGCACTGACCCAGGGGGGTGGGAAACAAACTGGAACAAAGACTAAAAGCATCGTGCCATGTCAGGGTCATTACCCCCATTCCTTTTCCATGTAAACACCTTTTACTTTATTATGTTTACATTGAACAGATGCAAAGAGTATCTAGATTGTAAATCAGAGTACAATGTACTGTTTACACTCACTGTGTGGGGAAATATGGTATCTTTTAAGCACTGTCCCTCCAGTACTTGTTGTAGGAGAACCTCTTGAGGTGGATGATGAGAACGTCCGGCAGTGACCACAGGTCAAACTTCTTGGTGGCCTGTTTGTGCTCCTTGCAGTCCGGGCAGTACCTGGAGAGATGAGAAAGGGTGGGGGGTGGGGTGTGGGGGGAGTTTGTTGTTTGTTTTGGTAAGTGTGTTACAGCACTTGTAACATAATAAGGTTATATAAGTCCCGAAGTTTAGAGGTGTTACAAGAGAGCAACAGTTTAGTTTTAGTAAAAGTTTTACGGCACTTGCAACACAATAAGGAAGGCCTTATAAGTGCCGAAGATTAGAGGTGTTACAAGAGAGTAACAGACACAAAAAAAGGAGGAGGGGAGATAAAAACGATAGATGTTCGATGGGAAAGAAGGAGCAAACCACACCCTCTATATCCCCGCTACTTCGTCAAAATTTGACAGCATCATCGACTTGTAGCATGAGATGAAAAGTGTTTTTTAAAATATTTGCAGTGATTTTCTTTTAGTCAGAACACAACATTTTATGTTACTGTTGTCCATTGTATTGTATTGTTAAGCGCTGAGAGCCTGCGTACTTTAATCGGGGTAGAGCGCTATGTAAATGTCATTTATTATTATTATTATTATTATTCTATCCAGGTTTTTTTTAAAGTTTTGAGTTGAGGTATGTTGCGGGTTCTGTCTGCCTCACACTACATTGTGATCCGCGTGTCATTCTGAAATGACCATTCTGCTCCGAGAAAAAATACTCATGAATAACGTTCCATCTGCTTTTGATGTCCAATATCTCAAAAGTACTAAAAAAGTCGCTTTTTATCTCATGACACGCCTTGAACCCCCCCCCCCCCTCCTCTCCCTCTCACCCACCATCACCCTCCACCCCTGCTTAAATGTTTTAAAAAACCAACAGCCTTTCCCCAATCCTTTCTGGCCAACCGGTGACCTAATGACCTTCTGACCTTACCAGGGGTCGTGTTTACTAAGCTGCTCCTCTTTCATGAAGAGTTTGAGGCAGTCGTCCAGTTGGATGACCGTCTTCTTCTGCACACCGCGCGACCTCATGCTCTCGTGCTCCTCAAAGTCCTGCACACAAAGTAGTTGTTGTTTTTTTAAATTTTATTAAGTGTTTTACAGCACTTGCAACACAATAAGGTCATATAAGTTCCACAGATTAGAGGTGTTACAAGAGAGCAACAAACACAAAAAAGAAGGAGGGGAGATAAAGACAACAGACTTTTTTAATAGGAAAGAAGGAGCAAATCACACCAGAGCACCCGCTAACCACCCACAAAGTAGTTTTCTTTTAGTTGAAGTACCAATTTTACAGTACTTGCAACACAGATAGGTCATATAAGCGTCAAAGATTAGAGTTGTTACCAGAGAGTAAACATACAAAAAAAAGCAAGTGGGATAAGGACAATAGACCTTTCAGTGAGACAGACAGACGCCAATTTAAAAAAAAAATTTTTTTAAATGGTAAAGAAGCAGGACCAGCCAGCGGCCCGTTTCAACCAGCCACAATCTCAACATGATAGTAACTGTAGATGTTTCACGGCCCTATCAACATGATAGTAACTGTAGATGTTTCACGGCCCTATCAACATGATAGTAACTGTAGATGTTCCACGGCCCTATCAACATGATAGTAACTGTAGATGTTTCACGGCCCTATCAACATGATAGTAACTGTAGATGTTTCACGGCCCTATCAACATGATAGTAACTGTAGATGTTCCACGGCCCTATCAACATGATAGTAACTGTAGATGTTCCACGGCCCTATCAACATGATAGTAACTGTAGATGTTCCACGGCCCTATCAACATGATAGTAACTGTAGATGTTCCACGGCCCTATCAACATGATAGTAACTGTAGATGTTCCACGGCCCTATCAACATGATAGTAACTGTAGATGTTTCACGGCCCTATCAACATGATAGTAACTGTAGATGTTCCACGGCCCTATCAACACTATTTAGATCATCCGGGAGGTGGGCTGCTTCAACTCTCAACCTCAGGGGCCAGCTGAGAGGGACACAATGTCCCAAAAAGACAGACGGAGATACCCAACAAAAAACCTTCCCACACAGGGACTGAACTCGTTTAGTTTAAGTACGAGTTTTACGGCACTTGCAACACAATAAGGTCATATAAATGCCGAAGATTAGAGGTGTTACAAGAGAGTTACAAACACAAAATAGAAGGAGGGGAGAAAAGGACGACAGATGTTTGATAGGAAAGAAGGAGCAAACCACACCAGAGCACCCTCCAACCACCTGCGGACTGAACTTGCATCGTCTACATGTTGTCAGCGAAGCGCCTAACTGCTACACCACAGACAGCAGATATCTCAACACATCCAATTCTGTGCTGGTGCTAATCCACCATCCGTACCTTTTTCTTCTCTATGCTTGCAGAACATTTTCATACGTTCAATTACATTTAACACATCTCACATTCTGTTGGATACAAAGCATCAGCTTCGACTTCTCGGATAATTCAATTGTTTTAATTGCAGAAACTGACCTCTTCCATGGGTCTACACAGCAAAGTTTGGCCCAAGACATTGAAAGAGTTTAATAACTTAAAAAAATTCTACACAGCAAAGTTTGGCCCAAGACAATGACAGAGACAGGTTCAACAAAGCGAGGTTTGGCCTATGGCACTGAAACAAACATATTCACAAACAGAAAAAGTTATAGCCTGACTCCCTCCACCACGATCACTCACCTCCGCAGCTTTTGTGTCAAAGAACCTTTCCTTAGCCGCCGGACTCCAGTCTACAGCGATGTATGTCCGACCTGAAAATATACACGATAAGCCACTTGTAAAAAGTAGGACCTACCAGTGGTGCTCTCCAATTAACAGCAGAAACAAGAATGACACACGTCTTAATCCCTCCTTCCCCATTACAAACTAAATATTGAATGTTCTGGGTTTTAGTTTTAGTAGAGTTTTTACGGTGCTCGAAACTGCATAAAGTCATATGAGCGCTAAGGGGTGGATGTCAATAGAGAAGTCTTTACAGGGAATCAGGCTTATCTGCTCACCTCTCTTGCTTCACCAGCACAAAGTGTGCTTCGACTATCAAGGCACCCCGGAAATAGCGGGTCAGAAGAGAGTGACAAACATACAAAAGAAGTAGAGGAAAATGACGATATTACGGAATAGGAAAGAAAAAGCAGCAGTTCTCTGTTGCAGTTCAGGCACAGTTATGAGCATGACATCGATGAATCAGCCCATTTACAATTCTACAGTGCATAAGAACACGTTTATGTCCCCCCCTTTGGGAATGGCCTAAAGACACTTCAGTCAGTAGCACCGCCCCGGTTTTGTGTGGAATGACAACAGAAACAAATCTCCCTTTCCCCGACACATCCTCACATTTACAACACAAGCCGTCCTGATCACTTTTTAAGAAATGTTTCTAGTTGGGTATTTTTGTAGGATAAAAATATGTTTCCTATTTCGTATCCTGCAAAGAGCAGAGTTTTTGTTACATGTACAATAGTCTCCCCCTAAGATCCCGGTGCTGGGGAGCAAGGGGAATGTGGGATCTCAGGCAAACGGGAGATCAAAAATATTTAAAATCCAATTATTCAGATGTTTTTACTTTTGCTTCAGTCACAAAGACGGAGCCCTAAAACATGAAACGTGGCCAACCCCATAAACACAACAGGAGAAGCTGCATGGACAAACAGAGGAATGTAGCAAAACGGTACAGTCTATGATAGACACTAGTCTTCAAGTGTGATACGACTGAGAAGAAGAAAAAGGAGGAGGAGGAGGAGGAGGAAGAAGCAGAAGAAGAAGAACAACAACAACAACAACACCAACAACAACAACTTACTACTCATCCTCAAGGCTTTCCCGTCATCCACTAGACGCGTGCCCGACTCGTCCCGGCCAAAATTGTTTGCTGCCCGCAGTGTGAAAATCCGCTTGCCCTTGGAGGAAGACGGAGTGGAGGAGGGGGAGGGGGAGGAGGAGGAGGAGGAGGAGGACGATGAAGAAGAGGCGACAGCATCTCCCTCAATCTTGATGTTAGAGGAGGCAGCCGTATCTCTCTCGACCTTGACACTAGAGGAGGTTGCGGCATCTCTCTCCGTCTTGACGTTTGAGGAGTCTTCCGACGAGTCACCCAGCACCCCAGTCTCCATCTTCGTATCTGGACAAATCATTGGTCAATTCGTTTAGTTTTTTGTCGTTATAGGATGAGTTTTACAGCACTTGCAACACAAATAGATCATAAGAGCAGTGAAGATTAGAGGCGTTACTACCGGAGAGTAACATACAACAAAGGAGGAGGACAGTTTTAGTTTTAGTAAGAGTTTAACGGCACTTGCAACATAAACAGAAAATACAAGCGCTGAAGATTATAGAGGAGTTACAGAGTTACTGCTGGAGAGTAACATACAACGAAGGAGGAGGAGAGATAAGGACAATAGATGTTTGATAGGATTAGAACCTGCCAACCACCAACTTTTGAGTAAAAAGAAGTGTATCCAAACAACCCTTCTATGTCTCTCTAGCCCGCATGCTACTTTAAACCGCTCACAAGTCACTCTAAACGCCACAAATCACAACACACAGCCTCCCCTCCCCTCCCCAGTGTGCTGTAGAAGAACTCGCCATCCCAACACCACCACTGTAACACCCTATAACCCCCC